CCTGACCTCCTGGTTCATAGGTCAACGCTCAACCCCTAAGCCACGCTGGCCGAGCATCATTGACCTTTTTGCGGGGTGAAAGGCGGGGGTCTCTCCCCTGCTGTCGGGAGTGGCAGGTGCTGGTCCTGGTCAGTCTGTGGGGGCGCACAGTAGGGCCAAACACCCGCGCCTGAAGGAAGAGGCCTGCCTGGCTCCGCTGGCCCCTGAGCACCCATCCCTCGGGCCAGGACTCAGGGCCACAACCCGGGGAACACACAGACTTCCTGTCTGCCGGCTCCTGGCTTCCCACCCCTGGCCCTGCCTCCCTGTTCACAGAACAGAAAGTGAAAGCAAGAGGGAGCGCTGCGGAGGGGGCGGGTATGCGCAAACAGACCTGCTAGGACCCCGGGGTCTGGGGGGGACGGTGGCTGGGACCTGCTAGGACCCCGGGGTCTGGGGGGGACGGTGTGGGGAGGGCACATGGAACGGGAATGTGTGGCAGAGTCTCAGGCCGCCCCAGGCCGGGGGTGGGGAGGTGGCGGGCTCTGCCAGGCGTGATGTTGGGCTGCCCTCAGTGGAGGACTTCGAATGCCAGTCAAAGTCAGCATTCGAGGGGCAGGGAGTTAGGGGGGCCCCTCCCCACCCCAAGTCCCCACTGCCAGTGCCCCGGGGACTCAGGTGGGACTTCCAGGGGGACCTCTGGTGCTGGAAGGTTATGGGAGATGGTGAAGCTCTGGACAATACGTTTCGTTCTTTTTAAAAATATATTTTGTTATTGATTTGAGAGAAACACCAATTGGTTGACTCCTGCACGCCCCCTGCTGGGGATCAAGCCCACAACCAGGCCTGTCCCCTGACTGGGAATCCAACAGGCAACCTCTTGGTGCCTGGTCGACACTCAACCACTGAGCCACACCGGCCGTGTTTTTTTTCCTTTCTGCATTTTCTACATTTTCTTGAGAACGCCGCAAGGGAGGGGGAGGGGGGACACTGGAGCCTGGCCGGCTGCTGTGTCCAGGAGCGCGGTGTGTGGGGGGCGCTGGGCCTGAGCTGGCTGCTGTGTCCAGGAGCGCGGTGTGTGGAGGCGCTGTGGGGAGGGGGGGAAGGGGGTCAGGCTGTCCTGGGACACCACGTGCGTTCCCCTGACGTCGGGCCTGCGGGCAGTGGCTGTAGGGACGGAAGGTGTTTCCTCCCGCCCAGGTTCCTTGGCTGGTCCCATAAGTAAAGCCATAGACGTCAGGTTAGCGAAGCAAACCCCCATGGAGAGCAGGGACCCTCCTCCCGTGGGCCCGGCACAGGCCACCCTGCAAGCTCCGTCCCCAGCGGAAGACAGGGGTGCGGGGTGGGGTCGGCGACCGGGAAGGCCTGCAGCTCTGGTAATTGCTCCCAGGGATGGGGTCCCCTCCTCATCCTGTGCAGGTTCCCCGCACGTCAGTGTCCCTCCAGAGGCACCTTCCCTCGCCTTCAGGGCGCCCGGGCCGCCGACCGGCATGGATCAGTGAACAGAGCGTCGGCCTGTGGACCGAAGGGTTCCGCGTTCGATTCCAGCCAAGGGCACGTACCTTGGTTGCAGGCTCCTCCCACTCTCTCCTCCCCACCCCCCTGGCCCAGGCCCTGGTCGGGGCATGTGCAAGAGGCAACCCATCGATGTGTCTCCCTCTGTCTTTCCCTCTCTCTTCCACTCTCTCCAAAATCAATGGAAAAATATCCTCGGGTGAGGATTAAAAAAAAAAAAAAAGACCAGCTCAAACGAATATTCCAGAGGGTGACGGGCTCTTCCCTTCCCTGCCTTGTAGACTCTGAGAACGTCCCGAAGGCGACATCGGTGCCCGAGGGGGAGAAGGAGAGCGGACAGGAGCTGAAGGAGGAATGTGACCCCCAGGCGACATCGGTGCCTGAGGGGGAGGAGAGTGGACAGGAGCTGAAGGAGGATGGGGCTCCCCAGGCGACGTCGGTGCCCGAGGGGGAGATGGAGAGCGGACAGGAGCTGAAGGAGGAAGGTGACCCCCAGGCGACGTCGGTGCCCGATGGGGAGATGGAGAGCGGACAGGAGCTGAAGGAGGACGGCGGCCCCTCCTCATCGCTGGACTCCAGTGACCAAGCAGGCAGAGGTGGCCCAGCCCAGCTCCCAGTCCTGGAAGAGCCAAAAAGTGAGTGCCGGCCCCGGGCGTCCTGGTTCTGCCACCGCCGCTTCCTGCCGTGGTTCCCCAGCTGCCGGCCATGGTGCCCGAGTCCCCACATCACCGACCCGGAGCTGCCCCCCGCAGCCCCGCCCGTCGTCGGCCCTGCAGGCTGGGTGGCAGAGCGCCCCTCCCCGTGCCGCTGCGCGGTCTCCGGGGCCCTGTCTGCTGGGCTCCCACCAGCCCGGGCCTGTGGCTGTACTCTGCCCCCAGGTGCCCACCCCTCTGTCCTCTTGGCATTGACGGTGCCGACCCCCAGGTGCCTCCACGCTCCGGGTCAGGGCGGGCGCTCGGGAAATACCTGGGAGGCGGTTGCCTCCCAACAAGCGTCAGCCCCGAGGGGCTCCTGGGTCAGGGACCAGGCCAGGCTGCGGGCAGTTCCCGGACGGGTTCTGGAGGCTGGGGGCAGAGTCTACCCTCAGCCCAGATGGGGTGTCCTGTCTGGCCCTCGGTGGATGCTCCTGGTGGCTGGGGCAGGACCCACCGCAGGAGGCGCTTGGGGTCCGTGTGTGTGAGTGTGGGGGTGCATATGTGAGTAGAGGTGCGCATGTGTGGTGGATGTACGTGCTGTGTGTGCGTGTGGGGGTTGTATTGGGGATGTGTGTGCTTGTGTGAGAGTGTGTGGTGTGTATACATGGATAGATGTGTGCAGCCCTATGCAGCCATGTGCAGCCGTGTATAGACCTGTGTAGCTGCATCCAGCTGTGTGCAGCCATGTACAGACCCGTGCAGCTGTGTACAGCGTGCACAACTGTGTGTAGCCATGTGCCATGTGTGCAGCCATGTGCCGCCGTGTACAGCTGTGTTCAGCCTTCTAACCTCCCCCCCCTCCATCTAGAGAACATTCCAGCCCCCAAAGGCTCCCTCTTGTCTCTTCCATCAAAAATCTCCTCACTGAAAAGGAAGCTGTTATTGCACGTCAAGCCCACACGAAGGGCGTCTGTAACAGACGCGGGCGACCAAGTGAGACCAATGCCCACCCTTCCCTTCAGCATGAACACCGCTCAGCTGGCAGGTCTCCCGTCCGCCCCAGCTCCCCCATGACCCCACTTGTGGCCACTGTCCGGGCGTGCGCTCCTACTGTGCGCATTTCTGGCTCCTGTGGGAAGTCGCCACAGTCAGAATGGTCCAGTGGAAGACCACGCTCATTAGAAAACATACATATGTGTACACATCATGAGGAACACGTACACATAAGACGTACACATAGAAACCATGGTGAAACTGGATTTTTGTCAAGGGAAGGTTTAGGTCTCCGCCCCACGCCCTGCGCACGGCGCATGCCAGGCCACCTGGGTGTGCGCCCCTCCCCCCACGCTGTGTGCTGAGAGCCGCACGTCCGACCTGGTTCTGGAAGGGCCTGCGGCAGCTCCCGGGACGCACGTACAGTGGGAACGAGAGAGAGCAGGTCAGAGGGTGAGGAGGAACTGCAGCCAGAGGAGCCCAGCCCGGCAGGACCTGAGCTCGGACCGCGCTGAGGGTGCGGCCTGGCCCCAGGGGAGAGGAAGCGCGGGGCCTTCCTGGAGGCAGAGCTGCTGCAGACGCGGCGGCCTCATGCGCAGACTCGCTGGGCACCTGTGTGCCGGGGGTCGTCCTGGGTCCGGACACGGCAGCGAGCAGAGCACACGGACTTCCATTCTAGAGAGGACAGGAGACAAGCAAACGGGCATGTCGTGTTTGTGAGGGTGCGTGCGTGCAAGTGTGTGCGTGCGAGTGCGTGTGCACGTGCTAGTGTGTGTGTATGTGTGTGCATGTGCGCGTGGTGACATGAAGCAGGTGGCAGCTGGGGAGCCTGGAAACCGCTCTCAGGGTTGCCCAGGGCGGCCGTGTGTCGTGCTCGTGATTGTAGACAGACGTGCAGGAGGCCTGCTCAGGGTTCTTGGGTGACTCCAGGAGCTGACCCAGAGCGAGGCCACCCCACCCCACACACAGACGCACCCCATGTTCTCCCATCCCCCTAACCCAGGTCACTGGCCTTCGGGGTCACGGGTCACTGGTCCTGAAGGGACTACTCAGCCCTCAGCTCGGAGCCTCATCCCCATAGGGTCCTGTCACACCTGCTTCCATAGCTGGGGACTCTTCGCCCCACACAGGGCCTCCTGGGGGCTCCGTGTGCCCGGGCCGGCGGGGGGCCACTCCGCCTGCTCCCCAGCCCCAGCCTCTCCTCCGTTTCGATTTCCTGCACAGCATACGCTCCACACGAGAGTGAGTCCAGCAGCGCGGACCTGCTCGCTGACGGCCCGCGCCGGCCTCGCGGGGCTGCCCCCCCCAGGAGGCCTCATGAGGTTGTCGGCTGCGCTTAGGCCCACTGTCCCCCACTCTGTCCACCACCCCGTCCTCTTGTGTCTCAGCAACATTCTTCCCAAGATAAAGAGATGGCAGGTGCCCGGCCGGCACGGCTCGGTGGTTAAGCGCCGTCCTATGACGGTTCGATTCCCGGTCAGGGCACATGCCTGGGTTGTGGGTTCGATCCCCAGTATGGGGCGTGCAGGAGGCAGCCCATCCATGATTCTCTCTCACCACTGATGTTTCTCTCTCTCTTGCTCTCCCTTCCTCTCTGAAATGAATACAGATGTGTGTGCATATTTAAGGTCTGGGTTTTAAAAAAGAGATGGCAGTTCCCTCGGGTGTCAGGTGCTGGTCGAGCTACGCTTGATGTTCGTGAGCAGCTGAAAGGACTTGGAGGGAAGGTGGTGAGTGTGGAGTGCACCTGGGAAGTGAAACCAGCGTCTCTCTTTCTGTCTAGAGCAAAAGGAAGAAGCAGAAGAAAAAGAACCAAAAGGCGTCCGTTTCCAAAGGGCTGGAGTCCCTGTCCGCCTCCCCCTCCACGCCTGGTAGCCTCCAATCGCTGGCAGACCCTGGGGTCCAGGACGCAGCCCCGCCCCAGAGCCCCGCTCAGCAGGGTGGGCCCCCCAGCCAGCCGCTGGGCGGAGGGTGTCCCCAGGGCCAGGCCTCTGGGGCCGCAGAGGCAGCCTCGGCAGGAGAGTCTCCAGGCAGCGCAGCACCCCAGGACCAGACCCCAGGAGGTGCCCCCCCAGGAGGGAAGGACCAGGAGGGGGCCGGGCCCCCCGCCTCCGCCAGTGGGAAGGAGGGCGCTGCCCAGGAGCTCCCGCCACCCACACTGCAGGGGGACCCCTTGGAGCCCAGGAATGAGCCGCCCGCCATGGGGCAGCAGGCCGCGCCCCCCGCTTCCGGGGTGAGTTGTGGGGAGACGAGGAGCAGAGGGGCCTGGCTGCACAGTGTGGTTCCAAGGTCGCCTCTTGGTCTGGGCGGGGCGTCCTCTTCTGGGGCTCGCTTCTGGGAATGGGCGTGGGAGAGGCTGCCCTGTGCCCTAGGCCCCCGACCCCATCACCCAGCCCCGGCCCTGAGTCCCCGACCCCCGTCACCCAGCACCCGGCCCTGCCCCCGAGCCCCCATGGCCCCGCCCCCGAGCCCGTCACCCAGCCCCCATCACCGAGCCCCTGGCCTCATAGTCACCCGGCCCCCGGCTGTCACCCAGCCCCTGGCCCTGAGCCCCCATCACTGAGCCCCTGGCCTCGTCTCCCAGCCCTCAACCCCGTCACCCGGCCCCCGGCCCCGTTGTCACCCAGCTGGAGGCGATGCTGACCCTCACGCCGTGGAGTCCGTCTCCCTGTCCGTGTGGTCCTCTTGGCCCTGATGTTTGGTCTTTATTTCTTCCAGGCGACTGACGCGGCAGCCGAGCTGGTGGAGCCAGCGGAGGGGACTGAGGTCCAGCGTGAGACGCAGACACTGAAGCAGAAACCGAAGCAGAAAGCGAAGCCGCCCGGCGCCCCTGCCAGCCCCCCTGCCGCCCCGGAGCACGGCCAGGTGAGGGGCTTGTTCTGTGGGAGGCGCGGCGGCGGTCTGTCCACAGCCGCTCCGTTTGGCCAGTCCTGCCACCGCTCCTCTTTCGTTCGGTTACTCACCCATAGGTGCCGGCTGGAGCGGGAGTGCCCGCCAGGCCTCGGAGCCCTCTCTCTAGAGGAGAGAGACGGCGTGGGGAAGGGGCGAGGGCTGAGGGCCGCGGGTGGCGCCCAGGGGCCATGGCCGGGAAGGCCTCGCCCACGAGGGGTTTCTGTGATCGCCTGGGTGGGGCGAGAGGCAGGCCCCGGGGAGATGGGGCCGTGTCCCCAGCAGAGGGAATGGCAGGGGCAGGGCCCGAAGGACCAGCAGGAAGCCGGAGCCCCCGAGCGATGCGGGGAGAGACCGTGGTGGGGGCGCCCAGACCCGCGCGGGCAACCTTGGAGGCTGGTGTTCAGGTGGGGGCTGGTTCCTTGTCCCAGGAAGCTGAACCCAAAGGCAAGGCTGCCGTTTCTGGGGAGAAAGCCAAGCCGGGAGACGTGAAGAAGCCTGACCGGGGCCACGGGGGCGACGTGGCCGCCCCGAAGGGCGAGGGGGCCCAGAAGGAGCTGAAAGCCGACGCGCAGGAGATGCCGAGCAGGTAGGGCGCCCGGTGTAGGGGCCCGTGGGGGCCGAGAGGTGCCCGCCCCCGGAGGCAGGCCCAGTGCTCACCCGCCCCACAGGCGTCCCCAGGCTCCGGGGGAGGCGGGGAGTCCCCGGGGTCCCGGAGGCAGCTCGGGCCTGGGCTCAGGAAGGAGGCTGCAATGTCCGAGCGCTAGCCAGCCCCCCCCCCCCTCCCCCCCCCCCCCCCCCCCCGCAGCACTTCCCGGGCAGATTGTCCCCTGTCCTGCACCCACCTCCCACCCTGTGGAGGGGCAGCGAGAGGACCCACCTGCGGGCGGTAGGTCTCAAGTGTCGATGCACTTGAGTTTTGCTGGGTGCGTGTTAATGCAGGAGAAGAAATACAGTTACAGGTGTGCACAGGTGTGCACACGTGTGCATGTTTTTGCACATGAGTATGCGTGCACACGTGCATGTTTGTGTGTGCATGTGTGCACGTGTGTATTGTGCACGTGTGTGCATGCGTGCTTTGCATGTACATGGCTGGATAGACAGTCGGGTGTAACGTGCTTCCTGGCGGCTCCCCTGCAGCCCCCTGAGCCCCGGCGAGGGCGTCACGGTGTTCTTCCACGCCATCCTCTCCAAGGACTTCAACTTCGACCCCGACCAGCACCGGCTGTTCATCCGGGGCGGAGAAGAGCTGGGGACGCCAGGATGGAGGCTCAACGTGTGCGAGCTGCACGCCGCCAAGTGAGTGCCCGTCTGTGAAGTGCTTGTTAGCGAGGGTGGTGGCATTCGTTTCGAGCAGCTCTTCCCCTCGACGCGCTTGCCCTGCGTCCCCAGGCCCTGCTGCCGCCCGTCAGTCCCGTCTGGGGACCACCGGCGTCCAGGCCTAGCTCTCGCCCTGCGCTCCACACCGAGTTTCAGAAGAACGAAGACTTCCGGGAGGCTTTCCCGATGACCGGGCGGTGTCCCCTCTGTTCTCAGAATGTTAGACACGCACGGGGTCCTCGTGGAAGGCAGCGCCGTGCTGCCCAAGCGGCTGCTGGACCGGCCCGCGCCCTACAAGTACGTGGTCGTGAAGGGCAAGGAGGCCACGCTGCACGAGTTCATCTACAAGCCCCAGGACAAGGAGAGCAAGCAGCACGTCAACCGCTGCCTGCGCCTGCGGTCCGCGCTGCTGGGCTCCGGAGGTGCGTCCCGGGGCGGCCGCAGGCACAGGCCTCCGAGGGCGGGGGCTCCCGGCTGGGTCCTCACTGCTCGGCGGGGCCCCACCCGCGCCGTGTACAAACCTGAGTTTGGAAGCGAGTTTCCATCAGTGTAGCCCGAGCGCTCACATAGGAGAGGAAACGAGGGAGGGATTTGTCGTGAAGGGAGGAGAGGAGAGGCAGCTGTTGAGCGAGGGGCTGGGCGGGAGGCGCAGGAGTGGGGGCGACAGGGGCAGGAAGGGGGGCCCTTCAGGGAGATGTCCACAGGCGCTGGGAGTGAGCGTGGCGAGGAGCGTGGAGAGCCCCGCCTGCCGCCCCACCGTGTGGTCGCTCGCGGCCACTCTTGCTCTTCATTTCTTATTCTCCGTTTTGTCTTCTTTTTCTTTCTTTTTAAAATATATTTTTATTGATTTCAGAGAGGAAGGGAGGGGGGGAGAGAGAGAGAGAAACGTCAACGATGGGAGAGAATCATTGACAGGCTGCCTCCTGCGCGCCCCACGCTGTGGGCTAAGTGCCGTGATCGGGAATTGAACCGTGACCTCCTGGTTCGTAGAGCGATGCTCAACCCCTGAGCCACGCCGGCGGACCATTTTCTTGTTTGTATCGTTAACTGCCTTCCGTGTTTTTTTGCTGTGTTTTATACTCACCACATGCAGTCGAGTGCGTGTGTCTGCGTGTGTGCGTGAGCGTGCCTGTCAGCCCCGGCCGAGGGCTCTGCCTGCCTTGTCGCCTGTACCGTCCTTCATGGGGTGGGCATCTCGTGGCGCCGTTCCAGTGTAAAAGGGTTACCCCCGAGCGAGCGTTTTCCTAGGGGCTCGGGTGCCGGGCCTGTGAGCCATCGAGCTCGCCACGGCACTCCCTGTGCGGCCGGCCCGGACGGCGTGGCCTCCGTCTCGCCTCCCCCCGTGCGGCGTCTGCATGCCTGTCCCCAACCCAGCCGGCTCCCCACGGGCAGCCCCGGCCGCTTACCTGCGGGGGCGAGGCCCTGCCCGCCCGGCCAGCCCTCGGCATGTCCTCCCTCCCCTCCTGGGCTCACTCCGCTGCTCCTGCCCCCGCCCCCTAGACTGGCACCAGTATGACGACATTATTTGCAAGCGGCCCGATGGGAAGCTCCGGGAAATCTGGAATAACTTCAAGGACCATTTCGTGGACCAGATGAAGAAGAACGTGAAGGGGAAGCAGCTGGCGGCCTCCATCATGCTGGACCGCGTCCTCAGCGTCCTGCAGCCCTGGAGCGCCGTCAACCTGAGCAGCTTCTTCACGCAGTTCCGCCAGTTCTACTCCGTGGTCAGCGAGCCCATGGTGTACGAGGCGCAGGCGCAGCCCTGGACCTCCCTGAACTACCCCAAGGAGCAGGTACGGCTCGGGGCGCTGCCACTCCCTCCTCCACCTTCTAGCAGCAGCGTCACCCACCTCCTAGTGGCCAGGGGACCCGGGGCGCAGTGGGCAGGTGCAGATGGGGGAGGAGGGGGGGATGGGGGAGCTTCTGCCCCTTTTCTCCGAATACTTCTTCTTGGGAATCCTTTGTTCTTCCCATTGTCTTCCTCCTCCCACTGCTGGCCCCAACCCCACTGGCCCCACCCCCAGCCCCAGCCCCACCTACCTGGCCACACCCACCTGGCCACACCCCTCACCTGGCCTCCACACCTGGAGCCCTCCTTCCTGCCTCTCCCCGGGCACTGGGGTGGGGCCTGGGCAGTTCTGAGACACACCTGGGCCCACAGCTGAGATGAGGCTGAACCACTGTGAGCACCCAGGCCCTCCCGGAAAGCCCCTTCCCCGTGCCGGGGTCTCCGATCCCATTATCGGGGCGGCTCCCGGAAATCCAGGGCAGCTGGGCCCGGAGAGGGGCTGCTCGATCACAGAGCTGTCCCTGCCCCTCGGGCCATGGCCTCTGCCGGGTGAGGTGGACCTCGGGGCAGCGATGGGGCAGCCCGGATGGCTTCGGCTCCACGGCCCTGTCCGTTTCCCCTGCGTCAGGTGAGGGCACACCTGTGGGAGTGTTTGCAGAAGCACATGGCGCCGTTCCTGGAGAGGCGGGAGGACACGCTGCCCCCGGACGCCCCCGTGAGGAGGAAGCTGAGGATGGGCCTGATCGCCCTGCACGTGGCTGAGGAGCTGGAGCTCCAGCTCTCGGGGTGCGACCTGGGCGCCCTGTGCGACCTCCTGTGCCCCAGCGCCAGCTCCGCCCGCGACCTCGACGACGACCTCAGCCTCATCTTTGAAACACATCAAAGGTAGCGTGTGTGTGTGTGTGTGTGTGTGAGAGAGAGAGAGAGAGAAACGATTTTATAGCCACTTTTTAAAAATATATATTTTTTATTGATTTCAGAGAGGAAGGGAGAGGGAGAGAGAGAAACATCAATGAGAGAGAATCATAGACCGGCTGCCTCCTGCATGTCCCCCACTGGGGATGGAGCCCGTAACCTGGGCCTGTGCCCTGACCAGAATCGAACTGTGACTTCCTGGTTCATAGGTCTACGCTCAACCACTGAGCCACGCTGGCCGGGCCCCTTCCTGTTTGAAAACTTGCTTTATACTTAGACTGACGCCAGACGCCCAGGCCCACGTGCCAGCCTGCCCGGCCCTGGGGGGGATCACTCAGCCGCCAGTGGAAGCGGCACCATCGGGAGTTTGCTGGGGGATATTCGGTGCCCACGGCGTTGGGGGTGACGCTGAGGGTGCCCTCTCTCCCGGGGGATTAGCCACTCCCAGTGGCCTGCCCGCCCTGGGCGCGTGCTGGCCTTTCCCCGGGACGTCAGGCAACAGGGAGCCTGCCAGCGCCCTGGCTCACGGTAGGGCCTCTGTCCCGTTCCCAGGTGGCAAGACTACCTGCTGAGGCTGTGCCGCAGGGGCATGGAGCTGTACGTGGACTCCTGGGTGGGCATCCTGCCCGTGCTCCACCTATGCTCGGGGCCGCGCCCCCCAACCCGGCAGCCCGGGACTCAGCCCGAGGACGTCTGGGCGGCCCTGGAAGGAATCTCCTTCTCGGAGTTCCGGCGGAAAAGGGCACATGAGTAAGTGTGGGCTCCCCTCCCCGCGTGGTCTCGGCGGGCCTCCCGCTTCTAGGGAGCGAGCAGTGCGTCTCCTCATAAAATGGCTCCGTTAGAAAGTGTGAGACATGCGATGCGCAGGGCACACCCCAACGCCGCCCGCACCTCCGGGGCGCGCAGGAGCGGCTCTCAGAGGAGGCCGGGGAGCGCAGTCTACAGGGCAGACGGCGAAGCCCGTTTAAGCGCAAACACTGAGTCAAAGTCAAAGGAAACGCGAAGGCAGACGAAGGACAAGAACACGGATGCAGGCGCCCATTGCCTAGCGGCCCCGCTGGCGCTGCCTTTTGTCCGAGAAACTGTTCCAAGTGCACACCCGCCCCCCCAAACCGAGGGGTCCGGCCTCCAGCCTTATAGGGAGGGAATAGTGACCGGAGGCAGTGGTCGCTCCTTTGCTACTATTGGGCCCCGTTGAAATGAGAGTGCGCGTGCATCGTGGGGAGCAGGCCCTCGTGGCTGTTAAGGGGTGGGTGGGGCAGGAGGCCTTGGTGTCGATAGGAAACGGAACGTTATTCAGCCCGAAAGGCCATCCTGCCTTTTGCTACAACCTGGATGAAACCTCAGGGCGTGAAGCCAAGTGAGAGGAGTCAGACAGAGAGGGACAGAGGCTGTCTGATCTCACTCATCCATGGAATCTAAAAAGGGCTCCGGGGGGGGGGGGCGGGGGGTAGGGCGGCGGCTGTTGGTCAGAGGTGCAGACCTCCAGCTGTAAGGCGGTCCCGAGAGCTACACAGCGGGACTCGTCAGCGGGGCTGCGTGACAGAAGGGAGTGGATCTCAGAAGCTCGCCACCAAAAGGGAATGACCACAGGCCTGGGAGACACGATGCAACAATCCACACCCTGCTGCCCCTTCCAGGGACTCAGTGTTACCTATCAACCAGCTCTCAGTAGAGCTGGAAGCAATGCTGACTTCTTAGTGTTTTTGTTGTGAAACATGCATAACCTAGGATTTACCAGGGTCACCGTGTCCGTGCACAGCTCAGCGGCGTTAAGCACATTCACGGGACACCCCGAGCCTTGCCCAACCGACACTCCGTCCCTGTGAAGCGCTCACTGCCCCCCCGCCCCCATGCCTCCTTCTGCTTCCTGTCCCGTGGGCGGGACCAGCCAGGTACTCCTGCCAGGGGAGCCACACAGGGGTGTCCCTTGGTGTCGGGCTGATTTCACTCTGCACCGTGTTTTCAAGGTGCATCCAGGTGGGTGAATCCTTAACGTTATTGTTTCCTTTTCATTCAATCCACCTCTTAGCACCGACATTATTTTTATTTATTTAAATGTATTTTTATTGACTTCAGAGAGGAAGGGAGAGGGAGAGAGAAACATCAATGATGAGAGAGAATCCTGGATCAGCTGCCTCCTGGGAGTCCCCCACGATCGGGCCTGTGCCCTGACCTGGTTCCTAGGTCAACGCTCAAACCCTGAGCCATGTGGCAGGGCCACTTTTAAAACCCCAGCTTCCTCGATGCTTCGTCCAGGTCTGCGTGGCCCTCAGCGCCCTCCCCGCCCCTGCTCTCCCTCCGCAGGAAGGAGCACTTACTCCAGTTCATGGTGGGGAAGAAGCACCTGCTGGATGTGGACGAAGCCCTGTTCCGGTCCTGGTTCAGCCTGCTGCCCCTGAGCGGCCTGGCCACCTACCTGCAGGAGTTCACCGACCACCTGACTCGCTTTCCGGCGCGCGTCCTGGACTGTCTGCAGGGCACCTGCTACCGGCTGCAAGGACTCAAGGACGCCCTCCTCGGAGACCTGGAGGTCTGTGGCCTGCGGCGCCGAGGGCTCGCTGAGCAGAGGCACCCAGCCCGTTAGCGTGCAGAGCCCCGCTTCCTCCTCCCGGGAAACCACGGGGGCTCCTTCCAGTGCGCTGCGCCCAGCGGCGCGGCTTGGGTTGACCTTCGACCCATGAACCGGGAGGTCATGGTTCTGCTCCTGTTCAGGGCACAGGCCCAGGTTGCGGGCTTCATCCCCAGTGGGTCTCTTTCTCTCTCGCTCTCTCTCTCTCTCCCCCCTCCCTCTCTCCCTCTCCCTTCCTCTCTCTCTCTCTCTCTCTCTCCCTCTCCCTTCCTCTCTCTCTCTCCCTCTCCCTTCCTCTCTCTCTCTCTCTCTCACTTCCTCTCTCTGAAAAATTTTTTTTTAAAAAAAAGGAAGAACCTAATCCCTTTGGCTCATTGGCTAGAGCATTGGCCTGCGGACTGAGGAGTCCTGGGTTCGATTCCAACAAGCCCCGCATGTTACTCCTGGGAGATCAAGTTTAGCACCTGAGCGCCTTGAAGCGCTCGCGGAGGACGGCTCGCGGCTCGGCTCTGTTCTCGCGGGGGTGTCGTCCGTTTCAGCGGAGACTGCAGCGCCGGGAGTAACGGCTGCTGTTTCTCTCCTTCGCCCCCAGGACGTTGACGAGATGCTGAAAACGCTGCTGCACCTGCTGGACATGTTTCAGGACCAGTAAGTGGCGAAGCCCAAGGCCGCCGCCGCCACCATCCGGGCCCCACCCCATGCACATCCCCCTTCCTTTGAGTTATGCGTGTGATCCTCCTGGTTTTTGTTGTTTTTTTAATATATTTTTATTGATTTCAGAGAGGAAGGGGGTGGGGGGAGATAGAAACATCCTGCAGGCCCCACACTGGGGACCGAGCCCGCACCCCGGGCCCGAGCCCTGACCGGGAATCGCGCCCCGACCTCCTGGTTCGTAGGTCGACACTCAGCCACTGAGCCAGGCCGGGCCGTTTGCTTTCTGTCCTGGTCGCAAGTTGGCGATGGGCTGGGGTTGCCCTGCGGTTACGCTGTGCACAGGCCCAGGAGATGCCTCCGCTGGGTGTTTACCCGGAAGGACTGCGTCCTGGCGGCGGGTGCTGTTTCCCGTTTCCCGGGCCCGTGATTTCCCGTCACTCTCTGCTGCGCAGGGTCCTCGAGGCGCCCTCGGTGCCGTCCTACCTCACCGTGTGCCTGAAGCTGCACGAGGCCGTCTGCAGACTCGCCAAAGGCCCGATGCCTCACCAGCGGCCCGAACTGCCCGCCTCGTCTGCAGAGATCGTCTGCCGCGTCATCAGGCTGAAACCGGTGGCGGTGAGTGGGGCCCGGCCCGCACGCCCCGCGGCCTCGGAGTGTCCCGTGCCGCCCACAGGGGCTGGGCCAACGCCGGGACTGGGGGTGGCCCAGCGGCCGCTCGTCACCCGCTCGGTGCCGGCTCCCGCGGCTCTGTGCATGGAGGACGCCGTGTGACCCAGGCACCTGGGCCCCGGGCTCCTGTGGGCCGGGAGTTGACGCGCAGATTGTCAGGTGACTGGGCAGTTACAGAGCAGAGCAGGAGGCCGGCGGCTGTGACACCCCCCAATGCACGTCCACGGGCCGTCTTTTCCACTGAGCTTTTCCCTACACTTTAAAAAATATATATTTTTATTGATGTCAGAGAAGAAGGGAGAGGGAGAGAGAGATGGAAACATCAACGATGAGAGAATCATGGATCGGCTGCCTCCTGCGCGCCCCACACTGGGATCGAGCCCGCAACCCGGGCCTGTGCTCTGACTGGGAACCGAACCCTGACCTCCTGGTTCACGGTCAACACTCAGCCCCGGAGCCACACTGGCCAGACTCCCCTCCACTTGAATGTTAACAGCAGCAGAGGCCGGACCAGGACGAGTCTCTCCCTCCCTCCCTGCCTCCCCTTTGCTAACAGGACTCCGCAGAGGTGCAGGGCAGCGACACGGGAACCAGGACCTCCGTGAGGGGCGTGGTCCAGGGAGCCCTGAGCACCACAAGGGCGTGGCTCGGGAGGACGTTCAAGCAGAACATGTTCCGCAGCTTCTATGCCGCATCCGTCAGGTTCACCTACAGCGAGGAGATCCAGGTGAGCCTGTGACCCCAGCACCGGGCCTCGGCAGGTGGCCATCTTGGGGGACCTCGGCAGTGTCCGTCCTGGGGGACCTCGGCGGGTGGCCGGCCTGGGCCAGAGCCTTGGGCCCCGCCCCCCAGCGGGATCTGCAAGGCCAGGCGCTGGTCAGGCCGCCGGCCGGAGCCCCGTGGGGGCAGACCTTGTGGGGAGGCGCTCTAGGGCAGGGCTGGGGGCACTGGGGTCTGACTCAGTGCTGAGGTTATGGTGAAGTTTATGACCTTGGACGTGGAAGGGAAGGGTGAACTCAGGTGCTGCTTGAAGGGAGGCTGGGCAGAATGGCATCTGAAGTGAGAGAGACCTGAGCCCCAAGGTGGGCAGTGGGGTTTCCAGGGCGACAGGCCTGGAATAGAATCATGGCCGCGGCGGAGGGCGGGGACCTGTTGGCCACTGGGAGGGCGGGGCAGGGCGGCCACGGGGAGGGCGGCCATTGGGTTGGGCCTCGGGCTCGTGGTACCACCTTGGGCTCGCGGGCAGGGGCTCCGCCAGGCTGGGAAGGGCACCTGCTGGGGAAGCTTTTGCCGCTCCCCTTTGGGTTTTTATTTTTTGTCGTTTTTTTAAACATATTTTTATTGATTTCAGAGAGGAAGGGGGAGGGAGAGAGTAACATCAATGATGAGGGAGAATCATGGACCGGCTGCCTCCTGCACACTCCACAAATGCGTTCGAGCCTGCAACCCGGGCCTGTGCCCTGACCGGGAATCGAACCGTGACCTCCTGGTTCACAGGTTGCTGCTCAGCCCCTGAGCCACACGGCCGGGCGGGAACCTAACATTTTTCAGAACAAAACCTTGAGGGGGATTCTTCCCGAGTCACAGCCAGTTGCACGTGAAGGGCCGTGCGGCTCCCAGGCCTTCGTGTTCCCGGGCAGAGCTGGGTGCCCTGCCCGCCGCCCACGGCGCACAGAGACAGCAGCCGGGTCCCATGCAGGTGCCCCTCCTGCAGGGCAGCGCCCCGCATCCCCGCAGTCGTTGGGAGACAGCTTGCGGCACTTCCTTGTCCCTCCCCTGTGCCTTGCAGGTGTGGCGGCGGCTGGTGGAGATCCCCTTCCCGGAGGAGCACGGCTGGAAGGCGTCCTTGCTGGGGGACCTGGCGGCGCGGCTCAAGCAGGTACCGGGGTCGGCGCCATGCTTCTCGGGGCGAAGGCAGATCGGGAGCCCCGACACCCGTACCCGCCACGTCGCTGCTCCCGGTGCCGCCTCGCCGGGGGCACCGGATGGAATTCCAGAGAACGACTGGGGCAGGGGTTGCCACCAGGGGAACCCCAGGCACACGCAGGGCCCCGAGTGGCTGGTGGTGACAGGAGCCTGTTAAACCCGGTCGGGGGGCGGGGGGGGGTGCGTGGACAGACACGAACCTGCTCGTTGGGAATATCATGCCCCGGGGCCTCGGAAGAACTAGGTTGATGTTGCTGTTGCTGTTACTCCTCACCCGAGGATGTTTTCCATTGATTTTCAGAGAGTGGAAGGGAGGGGGGAGACAGATGATGTGAGAGAGACACATCGACTGGTTGCCTCCCGCACGCCCCACACTGGGGATCAAGCCCACAACCTGGGCATGTGCCCTGACCGGGATCAACCCCTGACCTGGTTCATAGGTCGCTGCTCAGCCACCAGCCCTGCCGGCCGGGCACAGCTCACCGGTTGTTGCAAACTGCAGCGCAGGCGCCTCTGTCGAGCCGGCATGGAGCCTGCATGTGGTCTTGCTGTTGGTCTGGTGTTGGGGGCAGTGAGGACGCGCTGAGTGTGGGGGCAGGAGGAAGGTCCCATCAGTGGGGACCCGGTAGGAGAGCGGGAAAGTGAGAACCACGGGGCATCGGTGTCCCGGGCTCGGAGTGCGCCCCCAGCCCGCCCCTGCGCCCCGCAGGAGTCGCCGCACGCGCAGATCTCCGCCTACTGCAGCCCCGACTGGGCGGCCGCGGGCGCCGACGACAGCGTGTCCAGGTGCTTCGAGAACTGCGTCATCGAGGCCGTCAGCTCGGCCTGCCAGGTGAGCAGGCGCCCGGGTGCGTTCGGGGTCCCGGCTGCCAGGTGAGCAGGCGCCCGGGTGCGTTCGGGGTCCCGGCCGCCTCCGAGGTCGGCAGGGACGTCGTCAGGAAGGGCTGGCCAGGGCCAGAAGGGCTGGAACCCGGGACCCAGGACCAGCTCCTGGAGGTGCCGCTCAGATTCCCGCAGTGCGCGCTGTGACGTGTGGTCAACCCAGCCGCGCACATGTCACCTTGAGTCCGGCGGTGTCCCCGCCGCTCCTGAAGGTCCCGTGAGGTCCCCGCTCCTGGTGTGCGCTGTCTCCGACCCCGCACCTGCACAGTGAGAGACACCAAAGGTTGACAACACATTTATGGAGGAAAAGTGACCCTGTCCAGCCACTTAGGGATTTTTTCTGCAAAATAGGGAGATAGTCTGCCCCACATCGCCTCTCAGGGGAAGCCTCCTCCTCTGTATGCTTGGGTGGGTGCGTGCTTGTGTAGGCATGTGCACACATGTGCACATGTATGTGCACATAACGTGTATATGCACATGTGTAGCCATGCATGCATAGGCATGTGTATAGATGTGTGTGCACATGTAGGCATGTGTGCGTGTGGAGGCATGTGCGCGTGTGCGTGTGCATGTGGGTGTTCTTTGGGGTTCTCTATGAGAAGCTCATGTCACCTGTGAATGGCTTTTCTTCCTTCCAATCTGGGCCTGTCACGCCCGACCTTGCTGAGTGCGCGGCAGAAGCTCCAGGCCACGTTGCGTGGAGAGCAGGGCCCTCGTCTTGATTCCCGCTCCCCCGAGTGTGGGGTCAGCTGGGCCCAGGCCC